CCCCCCCTTGTTTCGTTCAACACGTCGGTGGGTTGTTTGCTGACACGGACGGTACCAGTAGTTTTACGTGCTGCCAGGAGCATGGGGCAACACAGAAACGTTTCAATTCAAGACCCGTCCGTTAACACAGCAGTGCACCCAACCGCCCAACCGGATGCCTAACTAGGTGGCGGCGACGAAGGCTGGCGAGACTGCGAAGGCCACACGGAAAGCGGCGCAACAGGCTAAGCAGGAGGCGATGTACCTGTTTGCCAAGAACCCCAGCGCGGAGAGTGTGGAGGGGCGAATCAAGAACTGGGGCGACAAGATCAAGAAGCTTCAGGTAAAGCCGCCGCTGCTGCTGTTGCTGTAGCTCTTTCCGCTGTGGTGCATGTCATCCCCTCATGTTTTCATCCAGCATTCGGCGTTTTTGGCGAGTCCACAGCGAAACTAGAGCTGTAGGCTTGACTGAATGAGTACCGTTCGTTCGTGAGAGAGATAAGAGAGTCGAGATGAAGCACGTGCACGAAAAATGAAAAATATGTTTCGAAGTGGAATTCCACGTCTTTTGCAACACGTGCGTCGGATGTGGTATCGTGTTTGTTGTGCATCGTTCACTGCTTCACTTGTCGACCTTGAGTGCGTTTGGCACAGGCAATAGTCGTCGCAGCTTGAGTCAAGACACTCCTCGTTCCTGTGTTTTATGTCTCTCGCAGTTTCCCAGCCGCTCGGGAAAACTTCTGCTCGGTATAGACTTAACTAACATCATGTCGGAAGCCTGAGACTCAAGAGTTCAACCATGGTTCAACCATGGTTGCACTCTAAAAGCAAGACTTTTTTTTTCGGTGCACCAGTTGGCGACCGCCTGGAGACTTTTTTTTCGCCGGCTGTTGCCCGCTGCAGCGGGTCAGTCTCTGGATCACAGCGCCCCTGTCGCGAGCTCGAAACTCCGAAGGCGAGCAGAGTTACAGCACGGTGAAGTACGACAAAATCTCCTGCATCCGGGCGCGTCTGCGGTAGGGACTGTCACCTCAAAGAATCACGCAGCTCATTGGACGAGCTTGTGGAGAACGCCAACTCATAAACCATGACCGACCACCACGTTCAACCGTTGTTGTTACATGTAGTAGCACCGACGGCGGATTGTACTGTAATTGTGGGCGTGGTGTCGACTAGATATCGACAGACTGCTGCTGTCGTCACCTTCTCCACGTAAGCAATGCCAGCTGAAGTAATTGCTTCCAAGTCCTCACGTGCATCGTGTATCTTCACGTACGTGCACACATTTTTTCTGTTTCTTCGTGGGGTCGTGTATGCCGGGTTTTGAGACCACGGGCTCCCAATCTTTTTTTTAGAGCTAATGTGAGAAACAACAAACAACAACAAACAGTGCTTACAACTGTCTCTGGGAGTGAAAGCACCAGAAAATAAAGTAATTCATACGCAGCTGTCATCCGTACGCAAGGAAGTAAGCACAAGATGCCGAACACCCTTAGCAGGATGCAGCGCACCCTTCATGCGACTCGCCGAATATCTCACGGCGCTTCGCGCTTGGTGATGTGAGAGCCTGGTCCGGTGAGAACCCGGCGAGCTCCGTCCCGGCTTTGTAGGGATGCGAGGTCAATGGTCTAACGACTACGGCATGCACGACTATGAGTACACCCCCCCTCTAAACGTTTTTTTTTTTTTAACAAAAAGCGTCCTTATCGGGCCACTTCTCTTCAAAAAAAAAAAATTAAACATAAGATGGATTCTTCTTCTTGAAGTAGTTATTTACCGCAAGAGGCGGAGAGATGGGCACACCCCCTTTTGACCGACTTTCAAAGCTCGATTGCTCCACAACCAAGGGGGTACAGAAAGCGACCGTTTTGCGTCGGTGGAAAGTCCTGGATGAGATGTTTCTAAACCCAACCATAGTTGGCGTTCGCGTAAGCTTGGTTGGGGAGCAGTCTCGCTTTGACAATCGGTCTTCTTGGGGGGGTGCCATGTCTCAGCCTCTTGTGGTATCCCGGAGTCTTCGTGGATACCTGGTAGAGATTAGTTATTTGTTGTGTCATATGCATAGCAAGAAACAATACAAACACACACCACGAATTCATCTCGTCCACTGTCTCCCATGGAAAAGAGTCCCGGTTAGATTATTTAGCAATGGGTTCATCACCTTGATATCTGGTTTGCCCAGCCTCATGTATCTCGGCGATTCCCCGAGTAGCATACATACAGCAATATCCATCCCATTTTTGTGGACAACAGTCTCAACGAGAGTTTGGCGGCTATCTTGTGCGTCTGACCTCTCACATATGTTATGCTGAGAAGGTGTAGAGGAAGATGTTGGGAGGAGTTGTGGAGGTGTTCTCTAGACCATGTTGCAGACATCTTGGCACGTACTTCTGTACTTTCTTGGACACGACGGTGCAAGATACAGAACATCTGAGCATCCTCTTAGCTTATAAATAACATAGTAAACATGCGATCGTCAGATGCACGATTTAGCGACCAAGCCGTCTTACTGATCCTGTTTACTCATGGGGGAGATATCGCTGCATGCTGCTCGGGGAGTCGTAGAAATAGAGGAAAGGTGTCCGCTACCGATGTTAAGGATCCATTGCTTTTAATAATTCATCCCGGGCGCTCATCTGTCGATCGAGAGAGATGAATCTGTTGCATGTTGTACTCACGACACAAGCTCCATTTGATTTCTGCATGCACAAGAAAAAAAAGATGTTGGACGTCGATCCTTGGTTGGTGGCGCATGGTTGTAGCATACGGCGTCATGGAGCGCCAGCAAGCGAGCGTTGGCGGATATACGCGGACAACAATCGGGCGTGTGCGCAGGTCGGTGGGGGCTTGTTGAACTTGTGCTGAAGGCCGCGTATCAAATCGCTGAACCTCACTTTCACTCCCCCTTTTTTGTTTGCTTTTTTAAGAACAAAAACAGAGAACAAATTATTATCTCATATTCTCCACACAGATACCCATGGGTGAGCGTCTGGGATAGCCGTTAGCGTTGTATACATAGATATGATGACCAACCTGTGTTTCTAGCAGACGCGGCTGGCTCTTTCGGGACTGCTTTAAGTCGCTATTTTCCGACGGCGTGGTCGGTACTGTTGATCTTTCCCATCTGTTGCAAGATATTGCGGTGGGGAAGGTTCGACAAGTTTTGATATCCTATCCACTGGCAAAGGGACCCCACCGGCAAAGGGGCAACTATCGTTTTCAGTGTTCCCCCTCGCGGTGCCGATGGCAAAACACGTGATTGTCCATCTCCTTTTACATGGCGACGGATGCAGCAGTCTACCATGCCTCATGTACACACATATGAAGTCTACAACTCTTGTATTCGCGAAGTTTGAATTCCTGCACGCACGACCGAGAGACAAATCAAGTTACACCGCACATGTTCCGCACCTCCATGTAGTGCTGCCTTTCCAGCTCTTCGTTGGGGCCGTCGTCGTCCAGCCTACTAGCCATGTCTGCTGATAGTATCCTGCTCTCTCCTCGTCTTCTATCTCTCTCTCTTCCTGCCTATCTGCTCATGGTTTGGTGTGCTGCTGCAGTCGTGCAACTAAGTACCAGGGGGTACGCAAACCAAAATCTTGCAGACGTGCCTACCTAGGGCACGGGTACCCTCTGGTTGAAGCAGGGATTGGTGGTGCACACCAATAAAACAGCAGTCGACGAACGTCTCTTGATGTCTTCTTTAGTGTACAGTAGTAGGCTGAGCGTATTCGAAAGGGTGGTATAGAAGTGCTCTGCATAGGAGGGAGCCGCTCCCCTCCACCCGCTACTGTTGTGAACATCCCAGACAGGACAGCAGTGTAGTTCCCCGCGCCTGGTGATCATGTGATGATGAGACTCGGATACTGCACAGAAGCAGCCATACCATGTAGTCTTCGGTAGCAGTAATAATAGTGTACCCGCCCCTTTTTCGTGTGAGAAAAGGGTAAAGGGGCCGGTACCCTCCGGGCGTCTTTCACCAATGCACGTGTCCTACTACGCGAAACACCAACATAAACGGCGCCAGAAATGGTTTCAGTGACGAAGTCACCTCCTACAGCATGCGTAGGGTGCACTAGTCTACTCACTGCTGTGTGGTAAAACATCATACCATCAAGTACCTGGAAAAAGAATAATGACCACCCCGGAGTGAAAGGTACATTATATTCATCGATTCTGAGAATCGCTAAGACTCCGTTGCTCCCACCCGAAGGTCCACATGATTTGTGGAGAAGGGTACTCGTTTCTTCTCATGTCGCGCATGGGATGCATACCCAAAACAATGAAGGACCTCGTTACCTCTCTTTCTCTTGAGACTCTTATGAGAACAACACCTTACCGTCTAAAGAAGCCTAGACCGCTGTTATACAATAGCACGTAACATGGAATACTGTAGTCTACGCAACTGTGCGGTATTTTCTGATGCCGCACGATGACCTGAATATCCCTGACGGTGTACGCTGAACTTGTCTCGGAGCAGACCGAACCGCACCACGGGCCAACACGCCCTTCATGGAAAGACAGACTGAAAACAAGGGACCGTAAGAAACTCTCCAATCAGCAACCACTTCTACATAGTAGTCCACTGCATACAAGCGCAACCGAACGATTCTCCTCAACCGAGAGCTTCAGGGAAAACAACAAACACTACTTTCAAAGACAGGACTCTACAGACAGGTGAACTTTCACTGAAAAAAAATGCAAGGATTCGTGAGGCTCTTGGTGGCCGGTAGACCACAGAAAAACCCCGTTACACGCTGCAACAAAACGGAGGATGAGTCAAGGTCGGCAATAAACCGCCAAAACTGACAGGGGATTCAGAAAGGAAGAGAAGAAATGAAAAAAAAAAAAACGGGCAAGGATTTCTCCTCCTTCCGCTTCCGCCGATTTCTGCGTAACGACCAAACACGGCGGCGGCGGTAGCTTCCAACCGGCAGTTTTTTTTTTTTTCTCCCATCATTGGATTCTGTCGTCTGCCCCTCTGGCCTCTATCTTCCACCTCCACTAACTAGACGACCTGTGCTCCCTGCCGACGACGCCATAAACGGAGGGTTTACCGATCGATGGGGAAAAAGTCCGACGACGACTGATATCACGTTATCAGTTGGACCCTTCCATCAATGTCTATAGACAGCAAGCACGCCTTCCGTTCCTCCGACGAATTCCTTCCCGTTGTCCTCCTGCCTTGACTTGTCATTTCTCAAGAGCGGATCGAGCGTCAAGTTCTTGTTGCCCGTCTCGACGAATCATCCAAGAGGGACCGACCATGCCGTACAAGGCCGTCGATAGCAGTAGCGCCGCACTTGGGTCATTAGCTGTAGATTGTGCGCGGGAAGGTTAGGCTGTGCCAGGAGGGCGAGATACCGTGCTTCCGGCAGTAGTCGTCGGGAATGACGGTGCCAACCTGCAGCGAGAGCCCGAAACCACAGATAGACCCAACCAATGGGAAGAGGCGCCGAACGCGTACAGGGGAACGGGGGTGGCACGTGAGAGGATGTGTGTGTGTTGGGCGGCGGGGGGTGGGAATGCAAGCGGAATAGGGAGGAAGGGGTACAGCGACGAAGGGACGAAACAACAGGGAAAGCCCATGCAACTACAAACGGACGCACGTTTAGGCTACATTTTCTAGGTATGTATGCTAACTATTGTTTTCTCTTCTTGGTCTGCCTGACTTGAGAGCTGTGCTTTCCTGGATTAACTTGGACCAACAGGTTCGCGGGGCACAACCAGAAATTCACGACGATTTGATACCGCGAACGGGTGTTGACACCTTGCCCTACACAGGCCAAGTCCAGAAAACAAAAGAGAACAGGGTAGGTCGGCACGGGAAGCTTGTGACAGCTCACGCATGCCACAGTTTTGAAAAAAAATCCAACAAAAACACACGCGTTTATGGTTGCTGGTAACGCTGCCCCCCCCTCCCTGACTCAATAAGCGAAAAATATCTGACGCTGCCCCCACCTTGTTCATTAGCGCCACGTCCCTGGTGGGGTCGATGTTGTGGAGGTACTGTTGAAGGTTGTGGTTGGGGCTGTTCCCGTCTGCGCTCGAGGTTCAACACGGCGACGTTGTCGCAAAAACAAAAGAGGAGAACGGTCGCAAGAAGGGAAGTGGCGAGTTCGGGCGTGGCCGTGCGAGTGGGAGGGGAGGAGCGGGTTCGACAAAGAAGGGTAAGAGGGGTGGGAGAGTAGATGGTGGAGGAAAGAACAGGGAGTGCGGGAAGGCGGCGCGCATCACACAACAACGTAGAATCCGCCCCCGATGGACAAGTTGAAATGAGTAAAGAAAGGTCTCCCCAACTAAAAAACGACAACAAAACACGGGTCATAACTAATCCCTGGAATACTGCATACATACGACAAGCAACTCGTTCCCAGGAATCACCCACCGCGGGGTGGGAAGCAAGTCAAGCGTGAAACTACTACCACTGCTGCTGTTGTCCATCATGTCCCCAAGCCAGCAGCAAGACGCGGATGTCAAGTGGTTGAATCGACGGGAGTTATCTCATCTCCTGCTCTCCGGCAACCCACCGTCGCTCTTGACGACCCCCGCCTTGTGCAAGTGCGTGTTGTCAAGGGTAATCTCCGTGCCCATGTGCTTGTAGCCCCCGGCGGTCATGCTCCACATCCAGTCAGGCGGGACTGGTGCGGGGTTTCGGGATCAATCGCGGCATTCAACAACCGAGCAAAAAGAACAAAAAAAAAAAGGTCAATAATCGCGGCGGGGGGACGATGAGGGGGGGGGGCAACTACTTCTGCTGTGGCGCACGATGCAAGTCTGGCGAGCCAACGTTACCGCGACGTGGGCATGGAGGGTGCCTGTGTCATGAACAGAAAGAAGGGAAAATGTGCTCAGGAAATCAACTCACGTAACGCACACCCTTGTTACAGGCTGCGACACATTCAGGCGTGCACCTCGCCAACAATCGTTCCACAACAGTAGCTAAGCCTGACCCTAACACCTCTTCTGCCCGGTAGGTATCTCTTTCCCCACAACCCCAAAAAACAAACTTCACACGCTTCAAGACTAACAAACCAGAATCCACACTTGTTTCTCCTCACAACAAAATAAACAAGAGCCCACACTCCGCGCCCCCATCAGCCATAGGCGTACAATATTCATACAGAAAAAAAAAAACACGAAAAAAAAAAACGCAAACAAGCATCATACAGGAACCACGAAAAAAACGGAAACAAACTAGACACCGACAGAGCTCACCGTTCGTGACGAAGTCGATGGGCACCCTGACCCTCAGGATGCGCAGGTTAGGCTGCTTCGCCACCCAGGCTGCCAGGGCAGCGTTGCCACCTTTAGGTCCGGCCCAGCCCAGGCCAAGAATGGGAACGTCTCCTAGGACGCGCGAGTGCGCAAGGTCCACCGCGCAGTGCTGGGCCATGGCTGAAACGTTGGCAAAACACACACACACACACAAAGAGGCCGTCGGACGGAGGTTGTTTTCGTCGTCGTTGTTGTTGTTGTCGGGAGAAGGGGGGGGGGTACAAGGGATGCGCACACAAGGCGCGGAGGACCTTGACATCCACGCCCGCCTAACCACCCACCCAACCGCCCAGCCTCCCAGACGTTCCGAACGGCGAAACACGCAGCCGATGGATAGACAAGCAAACACGGCACGATAACCGAAACGAGGACGATACATGAACCATGATCGAACCAATACATATTTTGATCACGAGAGAGAGGCGTTTTTGTAAACGATTTTGGCCTCTACTTCAGTGCGTGTGGGGGGGGGAGCAGCGGTGCTCCTGTTGTGTCTCGACTGCAAGAGTTCACGCCCTTGTCTTCGCCCAAACCATAATAGCCCGATGGAAGCCAAAAACCAGAAACAACCGTCAAAAGCTGACTAGACTTATGGCTTGGTTTCGGCTAATCTCAAAGTTTTTTTTGTCGTGTGTTTGCAGCCCGGGCTGAACGCTTGAGATGCGTTGTTATCACAGCCGAAATCAAACCGTTAGAACTAGTCAGCGCAAATTTTGGCACTGACGCATCTATTTTGTACGTCTCGTGTTTACTCCGTACTTATCGTGAATCGGGATCCAAGTCACCTGAGTGGCTGACCGCTGTACCCCAACATCCGTTCCGTAGAATTTCGAGTTTATTTTTGCTGTGGTGCAAATACGATCATGATGATGCCAACAAACATCCCATCCCTTCTGCCGTCGGCCTAACGACACAAACATCGTGCGTAGGGACCCCTACCTCCCCTGCCCCTCCAAGAATCTTCATGCAGACGATTGGTGGCGACAAACTTTGGGATGAAAACATGGATTCCGTTGAGGCTTGACTTACCAGCGCCCAGGCTGTGTCCGACGACGGTGACCTTCTCGATGGAAACCTTGTTGTCGTTCTTGAAGGCCTCGATCACCTCGTAGATCTTGTCCTTGGGGGATGGGAAATGATCCGCTTTCTCCCGGTAGAGCTGCTGGAAGCCGCTGTGGACCATGAGTGTCTGTCGCCGCCGCCGTCGCCGCACGAAAAAGCACGGATATGAGCGCAGGCAAATAGAAGGTGAAAAAACAAGAATGGTCGCACACGCCACACCGGTTTCCACACACAGGGGGTGTACCAACGAACGTAGGCAGGCGGCTCTTTGGTCTAAAGGGTTTCAGATTGTGAATGCACCTTTGTGGTGGTCTGCGTGGCCTTTCTCCAACCCTGTGCTTTACTATGGTCCCCGCGATTTGTAGGAGAGACAGGCAAGACAACAACATGTGGGAGTTGGCGCTGCATGCCGGGAGTAGGAAAACCTCGACTTGCCGCAGTGTAGCGACAAATACTGTTTTTTGTGGTGAACACCGCAGTGCCCCCTTGTGTTTCTTAAAAAGAACACCAGAGTGCCCCCCCCAAGTGTGGTTGTTATATCAACGGAGAGAGGAGGCGGTGCTTCATCTCGACAACATCTTCTGGTCAATGTTGGCATGTACATCCTGGGTTCAGTGCACAACCTGTGGGTGTGTACAATGATCCGACTAAATCAATATACCGAAGACTATTCCAAGGTTACCCAGATGGTGTTTGCAAATGACCGACGTTGAGCCTTCCACCAGTCAGAATCGCTCCATGCAAACAACAAGTTAATGAGTACGCCCCCCTGCAATATTCTTGCTGCAAAAGCAAACATGCCGTGACAAGCTCTCATGTACATCTTTCGGCAAGCAAAGCTGACCCACGTTGCGATTGAGGAGGAGGGCGAGGCCGGACTCCGGGGGCTCGCCGTCGAGCTGCTCCATGAAAAGGGTAGCGTTCTCGATCCACTCCTTGGTGGTTTCTGTCCCGCGGAACACAATGACCAGCTGCTTCGAAAAACAGCCACGGGAAGGAGAATGAGGAGAAACTGATGTTGCTGAGTAATTGTACATAATAAGAGAAGGAAGAGGTGGACGTGAATAACTGTGCGATGGAAAGGGCTGGTTAGAGCGCTGGGTACGTTTGCGATTTTTTCCCTTCCTCGACGTCTCCTTCGTCCAAGTTTGGGGAAAAAAACAGAATGGGTCGGCGCTATTTTGTCAAGCACCCAAAACGAGCAGAAGCATTATTGCCACACGTTCCGTATGCGCAGGTCAGTGCGGCGACTACAATCTCGTGCTGTCGTGCCCATCTTAAAAACGAATGGTCATATACGGTATCCCTTGGCTCACACCACCGCAGAGGTGTCTCCTCGTCAGCTGCGTACCGATGCCACATCGATTGTTTCTTTACCTGAAGCGTTATCGCGTGAAACTCCTCACCCCCAACTCCTGATTTCTGCCGAGAGCCCCAGGAAACACGGACGCCTTGCAACAGACAAGTCTGGTTCCAAGGAACAGGCAGCAGTCGCGCCGCTGAGGTGCCCACCCCCAAGGACGAGGGCATCAACAAGTCCTAGACACCCACCTCTTTCTCGTCCTTGGAAAGACCAATGAACCCGAACCAGTTGTCCTCGGCGCTGAAAAACGATTCCGGACTGCACACCAGGTTGGCCACCTGCGACAGGTGACGGCGGAAAACATTTTTTTGTCAACCATTATTGTGTCATCACATCTCCCACCATACAAAATACAAAAGAAAAACGATCAACGCGTGTGCGCAACAAGCATGCTTGCATATCCCGCACACTCACGATGGTGTAGTCGTCGGTGAAGTCGTATTCCTGCTTCTGCTCTCCCTTCTTGTTGACGTAGCTGACGCCCGACATGTCGCCCACCCGCCCCGAAATTCAAAAACAGCGATTCCCCCACCCCCCCCCGAAGTTTCCGAAACGAAAAATGTGATGAAATATCACGACAAAGCGGGGACAGAAAATCGAGCACAAAAAAGGAAGCCAGTTGAAGGATTACACGAATGACAATCAACAGTAATATTCGACNTCCGAAACGAAAAATGTGATGAAATATCACGACAAAGCGGGGACAGAAAATCGAGCACAAAAAAGGAAGCCAGTTGAAGGATTACACGAATGACAATCAACAGTAATATTCGACTCTTCAAGATGACTGGCTGTCATCAGCAATATCAACAGGGTCGGGGTGCCAAAAGCTTTTCAGCGGAGGCGACTTGGCGGCGTCATCATTCGCTTGCGCAAAGTTGCCCAACCACGTAGTCTAAACCTTCGCCGTCATACTACCAGCCTCTCGACTGACAACGACCAGCGACGAGCAAAAACCCATCACAACTACCCTGTTTGAATGCATGAGGTAGACATGACAAAACGGAACCGTGGTACAGCAGTACTCCACGCCGGGAAAACATCGTGCGACGGCTCGGACCGAAAAGTTAGTATTATGTATCAGGGTAAAGGGGTGAGGGATAGGGCTATTTAGTGCCCGCGGCAGGCTGACTGACTTGAATCTAAGCCCCTTCTCGGAGAAGGCCGTGAGTTTGTCCCCGAAGCGGGACCTTCCGCGTAGCCCCGTTTCTTCGGACTTGACTTCGTCCTCGCCCTTGATGAACACGTCGTACACCACGTGGTTCAACATGCCGTACCTATCGTCACCGCCCGTTTCGTAGGGGAGGTATGGCGACCGACACCGACATGAAGGGCGGGGGGCGCAGAGCAACAGAATTCGATCGTCATCACGCTCAGCAGTACACCCACAAAGAGATGACGACAGTAGGGATACGAGCAAGACAGAAATGACAGAGGTCGCGAAACATGAGCACAAGCTTTTGGACACATGTCCTTCATGGCGCCGTTCGTGAAGGAAGCACTTCCTCTTGTACATAGGAAATCCCCCCAGAAATGAAAAGACATCAATCAACCGTCTGTTGCTACCGGCATGTGGTACTCAATTTCGAGCGGGAAATAACACGCGAAGAAGAAAGGCTGTTGCTACCGCACAGTACACGCACTTGTTGGACCAGGTGAAACGTCTGTTGCTCTGCATACCGGCCCACACACACATGCGAGCAGGAAATAATACTTGAAGCAGGAAAAAACTGTTTGCTACCGCCATACGCACTTGAGCAGCGAGGAACTACTAGGTGAAACAGCACAGGCGGCCAATGTGCTCCCGGAAGAACACGCACGTGAGGAGAAAACGAACGAAAGCAGGACAAACGGCCGTTTTGCTACAGGCTCACGCACTTGAGTAGGAACGAACGGAAGCCCTCGTCCCAGACACGGGGCTCCGTGGCTGAGGGGATGAGCCCCTTCCAGTGGTTGGCTCCTCGGTACTCGTCCAGCTTGCAAACGCCTTCTCCGGAGTCCGGCATCTTGGCCGGCGTTGGCTGAAAAGAAAGGAACCACAATGAAAAAGGCACGCACGCACGCGAAATGACAGTGAACAAGCCACCGGACGCCGAAAGATCTCGTCAATGCTATTGCTCGAAGAAAAAAACATGCCACAAACAAGTTGCGAACAGCAGCAACAACATTGTTTTGAAAAGTACCCCGTTAGAAAAGATCGAGACAAACAAGGCGGAGCACACATACGACATCGGAAAAGAAGACACAGGCGCGCTTTCCGAGTTCCTCACTTTGGTACCTGTGCGGTGTCAGGACATATCTCCTTCACAACGTAGCGAGGTCCACTCACTCCCGCTCGGAACGAAACGAATGTCATCAGAGAAGCTGCTGCCTTCGCTGCAACGTAGCGTTTTGTGCAAAAATAGTACCGCTGCTTTCCGCTTCGGTGTACGCTGCCCGTTATTTTGCTCTTTCTAGTAATACTCCGTAGCGTTTGCTCGTCCTACAAGCGTTTTACCAAATAGAGGTGCACTGCAAAGGTGCACTGCAAAGCTGTCCGCTGCGTGGCGCAATTCTACGGTCGGTTAAGGCTTGATCGCATCGCCCAAGGGGAAACGTGCTCGCACGTTTCCCCTCCGTCGAGAAAAAGTGCGCTGACGGCTGTGCATGCCACTCGCCACCGGCTACGACTCATGCGACACGCTGGCGACCGACCAGAACGAAACCAACCGCAATTTCTATACAGTGGTTCGTCGCTTAGGGACACCAAAATTAAGGAAACTCCCTCGAGATAAATGACATGTTTTTCTCCCATGCATCGTGGCTCGCAGAATGTACAACATAAGGAGGGGAATCAACCCTTAATCAATCTTGAGGACACGTCCCCGGCTTAAGGACACGGTTTTTAGAATGAAATCAGGTGTGCCCTTAACCGAGGGACGACCGTACCCCGCACACACATAACCAGAACGAGGGTGATGAAAAGACACGCACCCTTTAAAGGGGTTTGGTCGCGAAAACCGCGTGTCCGCGGGGCTGAAGGTTCGGTGGCACTGCTGTACACCCAGCGTGGAAAAAATCAGGAGTCCTCACCCCCAAGTCACACCCCATGACGGTGGTGTAGACGTGAAGTTTTCAGAGGAAGAAGAGAGAAAGTGCATGGACGCATAAGGGTTAGTTAATGGGTCCAATATGGCTACAAGGAAGGGTGTTCGATGAGCGGGAGGCGCTATTTCCCAGTTCATCGGTGGGGAACAGAGCAGATAATAATAAAAATTCTTGGTATTGTTGTTCCACACCACCCGTCGTGTCTAAGTTGAAGTTGGAAACTACAAAGGTTATTTGTTATTTGGCCCGGTTCACACGGGTGGGTACGCATACGTACGCGTTTCTCGGGCACGCCAGGGGGGCGGGGTTCGCCGTCGACCTCAGGACTGACATCGTTGATCATCACAAAAACATGAAGCAAAAAATTAGGACGCCGCCCTTTCACACCTACTTGGTTTTCATGAATGTATGCATCCTGGCTTCAATACTATGCATGCCGTCTCGCCCCAAAACACCAACGATTGAATTGATTGATGTGCGGTCAGTCCATCGTCCGTGGACAATAATCTTTAACTAATTGGTGTGACCAAAAGACACGAATACCTCGTGCCCAGAGAAGGGTAAGTGAGGTGGTAGCATTTGTATAAGACATCATCTTTCCGACGTGGAGACCACCAACCCCTCCACCGTCCTGTGTTTGTTGCAGTTCGTGCCAAGTGGTAGAATAATAGTGCGAGATAAGCACTAAGGACTCATTCTTGTTTGTTTGCGGAAGAACCACCTTTCTTTCCGGCAGCCAAGAACATATCAGCTATGTAGGGTTGTCACCCGGCTGGGAAAACTGGAACCGGGTACACGGTGGGTGGAACCGGCGGGTACGCGGGTACCCGAATACTGGGGACGCATTGGGCTCGGGGGGGTGACAAGGGTACACACAACAATGGCCACAGAGCATTATGACCTACCGGAGGACGATGCCGAACAAAGTCCGACCTCCCGGTCTTTTTGTGATTCTCGAACACAATGATTGCTTGCATTGGGTATTTTCTCTGCTGCAAGAAGGGCAAAAGAGAACACCAGCGTGTACATGCGTTGCTACATGTTGTTGTGCGAAAGGGTTGTGACCCGGCATCTTCAATTGCTGGACTTCGTCAACACAAGCACACACTCTCCTTTACCATCACTATTTCTTAATTTTACGTCCAGTGTCTTCGCGCCACGATGAAACGTTGCGCTCTTCGTACGGCACTTGGGCCACCAACCACCGAACACTACGGTGGTAGTAGTAAGTACCTTGTTGCATATGAATAGTTCCTGTCTCCCCTCAGTGCCTTGTAATATCCGCACCGGTCTACCTGGCGCGGACGCCTTCCGTCGACGCAGACAGGCCAACTGCCCAACAAAGAAGAAAATACAACAACAAATGAATAAATGTAGACCGGACAAAAAAAAAAAAGATCCCTCAACGCGATACCACGTCGTCCGTCCGTCCGCACAAAAAAGTACGAAAAACAGGATCGACCGAAGACGGAAGGACAGGCAGAAAAGTAGAAAAAATGTAGGCAGCGGCCCCGCCGCCCCGTACCCTTCTCGTGGAAAAGAGAAGCGCCGGTGTACTGCTGTGTGCTGTGTGTGCATGTCGGGGGCGCCGTGTATCGAAACAACCGAGTACCAACCCTACATGTATGTCCCGACGTGTAACCTACTTGTACTAACATGTAGACCGTTGCCAGGGAAAGGCGCGTGCTTCTTTCTTCATATTTGTTGTGAAATCAATCAATGGGTTCACAACTCGGAGGTAATTATGACGGACGAGTTAACATCAGCTAGCTTGTGTTCAATGTCCGGTGAGATCTCCGGAATTCAGTTGTGCCGCGACCAATCAACGCTGCAATGTTTTTTTAAGCATTTGGCAGTGATTGCAAGAAATTCTCCGCGGTTCTTGGCCTCAGCCTGTAATTGAACACATGCATACCTTCGCCGGTGGCGAAGGCTGGAGGTCTACTGTCGTGAGATTGATAAAGTTTTAAACGTGAGCGACCCCCATCAGAGAGGGCAACATGGCAAGTGAGACACAGCGGGAAAGTACCCCAGAAAAAGTTATCGTGGAAGAAAAAACCGTTCTCGGTTTCGCCAAAATATCAGTAACACAAAAAGGAAACCGAGCACTGGTTGCTGTGCGCATCGGAGGAAAGAGAGAGGCACTGCTGCGAGTTAGAGTGTGAGGCATGGCGGTGCCTGTCCCGCACGTAGAGGCGGCGAACATACAGTTCTCACCTGCCCTCTATGTGGGCTTCTTCCGGATGTGCGTTAATTTCTCCGCACGCAGGAGGAGAGACAAGCAAGAACTACTTGTTGTGCTCGTGGCAAGAAGGAAAGACAGCCGGCATCATCATGAGCTACAGCAGCAGCAGTGTCAACCCCCGTGCCACGAGACTGCTTTTTAACATAAGTGCGTATTAGCTTTGCACTACTGGTAGAGACGCAGACAGACGCGCGAAACTCAGACAGACGGGGGAAGTGGCGCGTGGGTGCGGGTTTGTTTGTGTGCGTTGGTTGCACTTGGTGCGGAAAGAAGTAAATATTAAAAGAAGGAGGGGCAAACACACACCAGATAGATGCTGCTGCTGCTGCGGACACAGGCCAAGAGTTGCGCTCTCACCGGCTTCGTAGACAGAGCTGAGAAAGAAGACGTCGGCACCGAAAGCAAGTTGCGACGAGGATATTAGGATTGGAAATATATTATAGGATGATGATGTGGCTCACTTTTTTTTGTGTTGTGTTGCGTGTGGGCGCCTTATCCGCATTGTATCGTGGTATGCTCCGTGGCAAAGAGAAAGATTCTTCCCCGCAACTGCAACCAACGACCCCCGCGCGGAAAAAATTAAATTTCAAAATACCACATCCCCTTCGACTGCTCGCGCGGTTTGACAACGCGGGTAGGCAACTGTCTTGTGTTCATTCATAGTAGACGCGTGTTTTTTCGTAGAACCTTCCGAGGTTTTGGTGTGAAGTGTTAATAACACCACACGTCCACAGCAGTGGCACCGCTCGCGTTCGACACAACATACGGCATACCAGCAAGAACAACCTGCACAGCAGGTGCAGCAGTACAGTTGGCGCCCGCAGTTAAGAAACGCTTATTTCAGGTCCAGCCTCGAATTTCTTATTGTGTGACCCAGGTTAAGCTATGTTTCTTAACCCTTAGTACACAGTTTCGGACCGGGCCTCAAAATTTTCCGAAATAAGGAAACAGATTTCTA